GATATATAAGTAGCATCTACTAATAAAAAATATCAGTAAAATACTTAATTCCGAATTATAATCTCAAATTTGTATCCCATTCATCAGTACCTTGTCGTCAGTTCCATGTTCGATGTTTCGGTCTTTTTTTCGCAAACTTCAATTTAAATTCTGCTTGCGCAGAACTTGTTTATTTAATGTCATTATAAACTCTTATATACCCCAAAATCCACCAGCCGCCACTGATGTGGGGTATTATTTGATTTTAAGATATTTAATGTATAATGTAATATGCTCAAAGTTGCAATAAATCTTATATTTTCCAATAAATTATGTATTTAATTAGTACCCTGGTATACCTACTCGTCAGTTCCCTTGCATTCAAATTTAGAAAACACAGATATTTCAGTTGTTCAGGTGTTTGAAAAAGTGACTGGCCCGGTCTGGAACAGTATATTTATTATATTATCTACGTTCTCATAACAAAATACTGTTTAATTTTCTCCGAAAACTATATAAACAAAATGAGGCCAAAAGTTGTATATATATATATATATTTTTTCAGAATAGCCAGTGTTGTATACAATACTGTATACTATAGTAGACTTGTCCCTACAAAAAGATCATACCAAATGATTTTAGAAACCTCAAATAGTTTTGATCTTTTTCTTCTTTTTTGTCCTTTGCTTGGTTTTTTTCAATTGAATTATGTTTTATATTAAGTATATTTGATGGGAGCCATAAATTCTATTAGGTAAGTTTTGCTATTTATTTAAATAACAGTGTTAATAGTTATCAGGAATTAGGTTAAAATTTATAAGTTATTTTCCAATAATAAAATATTTACAGATAAAAATATAATATTTTAATTTGACATTTGTATTCCAACCACGGGATATATTATCTTTTTATCCATTGGAATACAGACTCCATCAGGTCATTAGAAGCACCTTAAGATTTCGTAACAAGTTGAAACGGTTGATCTGAAGAACTTTTACCTTCAGATATTTTTTGTAGAGCGTGAAATTGTCTATAAAACCTCTCGCTTGGGTGTTGCGAAAACAAACCATTCCAAAGTTATAAGAATTCAAAATTTAAAAAATAAAAATTCCCATGTTATTGAAATGAAAAAACAACAAATGAATTGAGGCAAACCTTAATATTAATATAAAGGGCTCAAATAGGCGCCAATATTTTTGTTTTTTAATGTACTTTTAATTTTTCAACACCATTGGAAAAAAAAATAATTGTTTTTTTTTAAACACCCTAATATATATATATATATATATTATATAAGGGCCATTCCACGCGTAACGGATAGGATAGTTGCCGTGTTTTTATTTACAAAATAATATTGTTCTATTATATTACCAATGTCAAATTTTTATAAATAGTTCTAAACTAAACCTGTTTAACAAGGTTTTTATTTAACTTTGTAATAGTCCCGTCCGTTACGCTTTAAATTATTAGTTTTTAAAGAATTATAATAATAATAATAATAATACTGTTTATTTCCATATAAAAAATTTACATTTTGTTGGATAATGTCAATTATAAAATAGTAGTTAATAAATTACAAATAGTAGTTTTTACATTTACAATTAATATGATACAGACATGTAATTGTGATAAAAACATATGATAATTATACAAACATATGATAGTGATACAGACATATTATACATTAAAATCAAAATTGAAGTATTCTTGCACACCGAAAAATGGGTGCTGAGTAAAAAAATATTTTACCTCTTTTTTAAAAAGTTTGAGTGTGAGGTTTTTTGTGGCAGCTGGTAATTTATTGTAGATCTTGAGAGCTCGAAAGTGGGTAGATTTTTCATAGGTGGTTGTATTGTGCATCGGTATACTGATCAAGTGTCCGTATCTAGTTGGTCTAGATCTGTTGTATGCACAGTTTGGAGAAAAGTATTCTTGATGCATTTTTGCAAACATAACTATATTGTACAGGTACAGAGAGTATATGGTCATTATGTTTAGTTTAATGAATATAGGTGCAGTGTGGTCTTGATAGCCCGATCCGTTTAGAACGCGAATAAGTTTTTTTTGTGCTAAAAGGATTCTTTGCATATTGCCAGAGCCCCAGATTACCAGTCCGTAATTTAAATAGCTTTGAACATAGGCGAAGTAGAACATTTTTAATAGGTTTAAGGAAATTTTATCCCTGAGTATTCTGATTGCATAAGTAGCACTACTTAGCTTTTTAGTTATAAAATCTTCATGGAGGGTACACTGTAATGTAGGATCAATATTAACACCAAGAAATTTGGTATTTGTTACTACAGCAATGCTTTCATTTTTTGAATGCACCCAAATGCTTGAATTTTGTTGGGGGTGGTATGGGTTTCTAAATTGGATAATTGCAGTTTTTTTTTGGTTTAGTATTAAATTATTTTCTTGACACCACTCTGACATTAGTTTTAGTACTTTGTTGGCGTTTCGACTTAGTTTGACTAAATTTTCGGCCGACAAAACGACCGATGTATCGTCGGCGAACTGACAAACCTGGGAACCACTTACTTCGTCTAGCTTTGACCAGAGGTCATTACAGAATATTAGAAAAAGCAGCGGCGACAGTACTCCTCCTTGAGGAACGCCGTATTCGCAAGGAACTGTTTTTGATTTTTTCCCGTTTATGTCTACGTATTGGACTCTATTTTTTAGATACGACTCAATCCATTGTTTGGCACAACCGTTTATTCCGTATGCCTCTAGTTTTGCCAACAACCTGCCGTGAGTCACCAGGTCGAAAGCCTTAGTGAGGTCGAAATATATTCCGGCCACGCTAAGTCTGTCATCCAGTGCTTTGGTAATTGACGAGACCGCCTCATAGAGGGCGGTAGTTGTTGTTTTGTTTTTTCTGAAACCGTGTTGAGTCTCGGATAATAGAGAGAATTTTTCGAAATAGTCTATGAGCCTGCACGCCATTGCCTTCTCTAATATTCTTGAAAACACTGACTGGATGCTCACTGGTCGATAGTTCTCTACCTTATCATGCTCACCTTTTTTATGTATGGGTACGCATCTACTAATTTTTAGGGGGGAGGGAAAAACTCCGGATTCAAAAGAGACATTGATTAAGTGTGTTAAGGGTATAGCGATTGTATTTGTGACTTCTAAAAGGATATTCGCTGGAATTCCATCTGGACCCTTGGATGTTTTTTTTGCTGCTGATTTAATGAATTTTATAACTTCCTGTGGATGAGAGGGGGTAAGAAAGAATGATTTGTTGGTGTGTCTTTGAATATTTGTTGATTTTATGTTGTTTTTGCTGATGGCATTTAATACAGATTCTCTAAAGTGGTTGTTAAATATTTCGGCCAATTGACTGGGGTCTTGTATTTCGTTTCCGTTTATGTTTAACTGAATTTGTTTATTTGTGTTTTTTTTGTTAGTTTTTATTAGAGACCAAGCAGTCTTTGAGAAATTTTTTGACCTACTTAATAGATTGTTGTTAAACATTTGCTTAGCTTCTTTTACCGCTATTTTTTGTTGTTTTTTTAGTTCTTATAATTCTAATTTATATTTGTTGTTATTTGTAATTTTGTATAGATTAAATATTATTCTAATTTGATTGGAGAGAGCGTTAACTTTTTTGTTTATCCACCCTTTTTTATTTGAGTTACTGTTGTGCACATTTACCTTTTTTAAAGGAAATGCCACGTCGAATGCATGTTTAAATGTATTATAGAAATTTTTATATTTTTCATTGATGCACTCAGTTTTGAATACATTTAACCAATCACTTTTTTCAAGCAAGGTCCTAAATGTGTGCTTTGAGCTGTTATTGTAAGTTCTTTTTATTTTAAATAGTTTATTTGGTGAATTTGATTCGCTCACATTCAGAACTATTGCCTGATGATCGGAGAATTCAATATTATATTGCTCAATTTTAGTTTGAGTGGCATCATAATTTGTACATATATTGTCAATCAAAGTTTTACTTGTATTTAAAAGGCGCGTTGGTGTACTCACCATGGGTTTGATATTAAAACCGTTGAGGGTGTCAAGAAACATTTTGGTTTTTAAATCGTTTACCAATAGGTTAATGTTATAGTCACCGCATAGGAATATGTAGCTATATTTTTTGTTGATTTTAGTTAGTAAACTATGTAATTTATCTATAAATATTTCGATATCCCCATCGGGGGATCTATAAATTGAAACAATTATTGTCCTTTTCTTATTTAAAATTGTACTTACACAACTGTATTCAAAGTGATTGTCTACTCCGCCTATGTTCAAATCTATTTTGTGTGCTGTTAGATTTTTCTGGCAGAATATGGCTGTGCCTCCACCTCGAGCCCCAGATCTACAATAAAAATTTACCAGGTTATAGTCTTCAATAGTAAAATGTTGAATTTCATTATCGTTTATCCAGGTTTCACAGATGCTTAGTATTTTGGGTTTTAATTCAATGGTTAATAATTCAATATCAGTAAGTTTGTGCTTTGCACTTCTTGCATTGAGTTGGATAATCCTTGTATTTTGTGAAGGTATATCGTCCTGTTTAGGCCGGTGCACCTTGTTGTGTTTTTTTGTGGTTGTATTTGCTTGTGTTCCCTCGAAAAAGGTTATTGCTTTGCTGATATTTCGCTGTTCTGAACTTATAATCGGATATTTCGATCCCTTGTGGCCATATGTTGGGATTTAGGAGTTTGTTTTCTGATTCTTCGTTTATTGCCACTTTGAAAGAGTTGTATGTTCCCCAGTTCCGTATTGTTTGGACCAAGATTGATTCGTCAGTTATTCTGGATCGTAGATATTCTCTAAGATGGTCTTCCGTGTATGTAGTTTCGTACTTTGATACGAAAAACCACTTCTTTGGTTTTGCTACAACAGAAATGTTGTCTGTGTTGCTCCCTGTGATTCTGACTGTGGTACTGGCTTTACCTTGTGGTATGTGCATTGTTTTAGTCGTGTCATGATAATTTGTACTTTTTGTTGCTTGATTTACTGCATTTTTGACTTGTTCTGCTGTTATTTGCGTCGTTTGTTTGGGTTTATTCATGACGCCCATTTTTTCGTTTTGTTTTTGATGTTTCTGTTAGTGCGCCCTCTCTCGGTTTCTGAGCTGACTGCACATTGTCGATTAAAGTTTTCTTTATAGTCTCTTTGTCTTCATGGTTCTGAATTTTGTCATTTTTTAACGTAACATTTTGAAGGCTTACTATTTGATTTAGAAGTCCTATTTGTTCCTTTAGGGATACCACATTGTCTTCTAGATATTTAATTGCTTTATCCTTGTCCTTCAGAAGACGCTTGAGATAGATTATCTCTATGTTTTCTGCTTCAATGACAGTTTCTACACTACTACTGGACGAGTTTAGATCACCATTTACAATGTCGCTTTTAGTTTCACTTGAACAGCATATTATTTTTGTTTCGTCGATCACTTTAATGTTTTTTAGGTATTTCACACAACCTGGGTGCATTGTATTATCGCAATTTATACATTTTGGGCCAATTGTTGGCACTAAATTACACTTTTTGCACTTGTTAGTTGGAGCTGCTGTCTGACCGTGTGTACTATTCGCCATCTTGATCGACAAAAAAAATTAAACAGTCAACCACGATACCTAATTTTGCCAAATAAAAACTTTGTTAAACAGGTTTAGTTTAAAACTATTTATAAAAATTTGACATTGGTAATATAATAGAACAATATTATTTTGTAAATAAAAACACGGCAACTGTCCTATCCGTTAAGCGTGGAATGGTCCATAAGTTGGCTACCACCTAAAATAAAATAATCTATAAACTAAACTAAAAATAACTTGTTTAATCCAAATTAAATAATCCCTTATAAGGGATATAAGGATTCACACTAATAACTTTGTTAACTACCTATAGTGTCAGCAGTTTCACAAAATTTTCCTGATCTTGATTTAAGTAATCATGACTAAACTTCGGATCATTAAAAGCGAAATATAAGTTCAAGCAAATAAAACATTAAAAGTCATTACTAAGCCATTAACCAGGTCAAGTTTTTAATTATAAACTTCCAACCTTCGTAGTCGCGCAACCGGCATCCTCAAACTTTACAACATTTGGGCTCCGAGAGTCATAACATTAGCATATTAGTAAGTCCAGCTTTACGGTCAGATGAGAACTTGTGTAGTTTTGTGGTTTACACGCTCTAGTCTTTAAGTCTGCTAAGTCATACTTTTGCAGAAAAAAACACGTCTTAGGTTCAGAAACTTCGTATAATCTTCTGCGTCGTTACTTCACAAATTAAGCGATAAAACAGGAAAAAATAAGCAATCGTTTTTTTTAATTTGCTGTTAATTTTTTAGATAACCAACAAAATCAATTAAAAATTTAATTTAAAGATGACAGAATCAAAAACCAGAAATAATACGACCTCTTAAATGAAGTCGGTAAACCCGTGCGGAACTACATTTGTCATCATATGTTTAAAAGAAATCTAGACAAGCGAGTCTTTTGCTCCGACGGAGATTTAAAGGAGAAAAATCACCGAAAGAAAGTAACCGGTTTATAACATGGTGGGAATGAGAAAAACCAAGACTGATGACCTGAATTTTCCTTCTAAGAGGACGTATGCCGTGTTTGGTACATTTGTATCTCGCATCTATTTAAATATTCCCAGCTTAGATGAAATTTCTCGTAGAGGTATTGGACTGCTTTATTTCAGTTAGGGTGACAACAGGTTGCAATTTAATTATTCCGACATGCAATTCATTTTAGAGGAGAAATTAGAAGTAAAATGCACTTTTTAAATAAATATGACTTATTTATTTTAACAGGCTTTGTGAATTTCATTGGCCTTCCTGATCTCCTGACTTGCCCAGGGCGAGTTTTTCTCGTGAGGTCACCTCACATACGAGCAAAAACCCCCCATCGTGAAAAAGTTATTCGCAGAGAAGTCGCCCTTATTGACATCCTCCAGAAATGCATTAATGATAACGAAAAAAAAAAAACAATAATTGCCAGTATTCTGACACAATTTACCAGGATTTCCAAATCATATAGTGACAAAGTGAATATACGACTTATTTTACCAGGATATTCTAGCACATCATTTACAAGGATTTCCTACAATATTTACAGTTTTTACTAATACAAAATAAAAGATTTAAGAACAGTAACTTATATCGGTATAGCACTGTGTAATAGTTATTTTTTTCACAAGTGTTGAAAAGCGACTTTTTCATGCGAGTGTTTAAGTTGCTCACAAGGCCGTCAGGCCGAGTGTGCATTAACACGAGCTTGAAGAAAGGTTTTCTTACAAGTAAAACACAATGTTTTTTCTACGACCCTTTTATTTTTTATTATATTCAAATACAAAACAAAATAATCTAAAAACGTGTTTGAGAGCTGTTAAAATTACTTTCATTTTATTCTTTTAGTTTTAAGGTATAAGTTACTTAAAATCAATAAACTTACCTTTACAATTTAAATAAAGGCACTAAAAATTAGAATTTAGTATACAAAAACAACTAATTGTATTCTAAATGATATTTAAACATACATATACAAATACAATACAAATTTTGAAACGAATGTCACAGACCTGTCACTTTTTACACATAAATGTCACTTTACATTCTTGTTTTGCCTTGCCAATGAAAAGATTCATTTTCTAAGCAACGATGCCAATACGAATTGTGTCTTTTACAAAGTGGTCGTAGAAAATAGTTATTTGTTTTACAAGTGTTGAAGTTGTTCACGAGGCCGTTAGGCCGAGTGTGCATTAACACGAGCTTGAAGAAAGCTTTTCTCACAAGTGAAACACAATGTTTTTTCTACAACCCTTTTATTTTTTATTATATTTAAACACAAAACAAAATAACCTAAAAACGTGTTTTAAAGCTGTTAAAATTAATTTCATCTTATTCTTTTAATTTTTAAGATATAAGTTACTTAAAACCAATAAACTTACCTTCTCAATTTAAATAAAGGCACTAAAATTGGAATTTATTATTCAAACACAATTAATTGTGTTCTAAATTATATTTAGAACATACATATACAAATACAATACAAATTTTGAAACGAATGTCAAATGATGCTGTCAATTTCTTTTCACACAGACCTGTCACTTTTCACACAGAAATGTCACTTTATATTCGTGTTTTGCCTTGCCAATGAATTTATTTTCTAAGCAACGATGCCATTACGAAATGTGACTTTTACATAGTGGTCCTAGAAAAAATACATTACATTATTAATAAAAGCTATTAGCTATAACTTTAAAGTTTCTGAAGCATACCTAATATTAATTGTTATAAATCTTGTTATTTAGTGACATTCTTATACTATAAATAAAATAAATAATTTTGACGAAAACATTCAATAAATACTTGACATTTTTATTAGTACATTATAATATATGCTGTTATTATATTCTGCGAAAAATAAACTTGCAGTAAAGAAATTTTTATTATATATTTTTTACTATTTCATAAGGGATTACTATCAAATATTATCAAATTATTTAAAAATTTAATACAGGCTATAGCCTGTATATATACCAGGAAAGAGGACAATGGTAAGTAAAACCAACTAAACTTGAAAGAAATATTTATTTAAATATATAAAACCTTAATTTATAAGAATAATATACAGGGTGTTATAAAAAATACTTTAATAAATCTAGGGTATCAACCGGTAAGTCATTTGAAACAACTTTTTTTAAACAGCAGCATGACGTCAAGATGATCAGGGTAGCGTAGTGTTTTAGATAAGACGGTATGTTGCGGAAATCATTTCGAATAATTTTTGTGGCTGGAGACCGTTTAAAAAAAAATGGTAGCCATGTTAGCCATGGCTTATTGCAATAAGGCGGAACTTATTTACTCGTATCATCATTTATCAAACAAAATCGGCAATGAAAATTGTCAATAACATAAGTCTCAAGAAATAAAAATATATTTTTAATAAAAATATTAAATATGTCAAATTTTAATTTTAATAAATCAATTATTTTAAAATCCTTAACGAACCAGTCCGCCATTCATAGAAAAGTAAAAATCAAAATTAAAGAAAAAAATTAAACTTAATAATACATTTTATAATTTTATTTGAATGAAATTTTATGGATTAACAACGTTATTCACAATTATCACAATTTGATTTGATACAGTAAACAAAAAACTACGAAAATATTCATAAATGCCCGGAAATTTGATATTTAGGGCCGGTATTTCAATTACTAATTATTTTCCAAATAAACTTTTTGACGAATAACTTCCATAAATAGTATTTATTAAATACCATTGTCTTGACAATTGCACCCAAGGACATTATCCGCCAAATAGTTTATTTGATACATAGGTACTCTTTTAAAATAAATTAGTCAAAAGAGACTAATTGTCATGGCGAAAAAGCAGCCATGGCCTGTAAGTAAGTTAGTAAGTAAACATTATTCAATCAAATAATTTCAGATCATCAGATAATAAGCCAGGCATTTATTAAAAATGCATAAGGTTAGTTACCTAAGCCTCAGAAAGAATGTAATTAATTATTTTTGGAAGGTAAACCTACCAAAAATAATTTTAAATTGACTATATCCTAAAAACTTCTCTACTTTCATAACTTCTGACGGTATTTTCGGATTCAGCTTTGGACAACATTTATTAGTGCACTAATAAATGTTGTCCAAAGCTGAATCCGAAAATACCGTCAGAAGTTATGAAAGTAGAGAAGTTTTTAGGATATAGTCAATTTAAAATTATTTTTGGTAGGTTTACCTTCCAAAAATAATTAATTACATTCTTTCTGAGGCTTAGGTAACTAACCTTATGCATTTTTAATAAATGCCTGGCTTATTATCTGATGATCTGAAATTATTTGATTGAATAATGTTTACTTACTAACTTACTTACAGATAATGTTAATTAATGAATAGGTATACACCTATCGTCTAAGATGGGAAATAAGTTTGGTAAATTCTACGAGTCCACGATTTCTTTAACTTTGTCCACTTTACGGTCACTAAACTAACTACATAGACTGAGTATGATAGACATGTCACCAGCGTTGCCAGTGCCAGTACTTTTATACTGAAATCATTACTTTTTAAGGTCTGTCAGTACGTCAGTGATACTTTTATAGTTTGCGTTTTGCGAAATTTCCTCCCCAACCAAAAAAAAGTTAAAACCTAAACAAATATGCCTAGGCATAATAAAGAAAAAACTACTTTTTTAATAAATTCTTAAATCTCAAACTAAAAAATATCATGATTCTTGCACCGTTTTTTGACGTCTGCTTTAAAGACAAATTTTTGATACAAAATACAATCTTAATTAATTTTTTATTAACAGTTTAAAATCTAGTCGTTAAAGTAAAGTGTACTCTCTAAAAATGATTTAGTCAAAAATGACTAATTTAATAGTTATTAGTGGCTGCTTTTTCACTTGTACCATGGTTAACCATGGAATACCATAGTATCCTAAAATTGAACAGCCAATTC